AATATCCTGAAAATTTGTCAGAAAGGTTGTTTTGAATGATTTCTAGCTCAGCTTTGAACATCGGTCGTTTGAACATTGATCAACCAAATATGGAAAAAATTTGTTACCACTGTAGAGGTTACATTTTTAGCAGAAATATCCTGGAAAGTGGTCGGAAAGGCTGTTTGTATGATTTCTAGTTCAGGTTTGAATATTGGTCATCTGAGGTAAAAAAAAAAAATGGTCACAGCACATAAAAAGGGAAAACCTTAATCACATTTTTATATGCCGAAAGAATTTCGGGCATATTATGTAATACCCCCTGGTGTCCGTCTGTCCGTACGTCCGTCCGTTAGCTATTTAGTTTCGGAGCATAACTTAAGTTCCATTTAGCCCACAGTATTCAAACTTCATAGGATGATTGTCCATATTGGGTAGAAGACCCCTATTGATTTTGGGGTCACAAGGTCAAAGGTCAAGGTCACTATTACCATAAAACTGAAAATAGTTTCCGGAGCATAACTTAAGTTCCATTTGGCCCACAGTATTCAAACTTCATAGGATGATTGTCCATATTGGGTAGAAGACCCCTATTGATTTTGGGGTCAAAGATCAAGGTTACTATCACCTTTAAACTAGAAACAGTTTTTGCTCAATAACTCAAGCATTAATCAACCTACAGCTGTAAAATTTTATAGGATTAACAGCTTTATACCCCTGGCGTCTTTTCGTTCATCCTTTGTAGCATTTTTACTTACAAGATAACAACTTGATGGTGGTGCTTTGAAAACAGCAACTGTATATATACATGCATGTTCTTCAGCTATAAAGGAGGATTGCTTTTTGAAGGAGGTAATACTGTATTTTACAGATGCTTCATCCTTACTAAAAGAAAAAGCACTTTCGGGCATATAATGCTCCACCTAGCGGTGCTCTTGTTACTAGTTCAGGTGCAGATATGAATGTTATGACATCAATTTAAGTTTATGGCATTATATCTGCCTTTCATTCATTGTTAACAATACAGTTGAGACTGCCTTAGTGACCCCCTGATTTCAACGACTCCCTGTCTTATCCGACCTTGTTTCAGTCCTCCCAACGTATTTTCCTATATAAATGGTCTGAATTATAGGACTCCCATGTGACAAACGACCCTAATTGTCTGGTCCCAATGCATCGCTTTGTCTGATTTAAACGACTTTCATACCGTTTAATCGTCCGTTAATCAGGTAAATAATACCTGTTTTAACATCCAGAGGGCCAAAATAAATAAGTCCAATCATTATCCAGTAGTCAGTACACTTCAAACAACCTTTACACAATTCTGCATCAATACACAGTTTACATTGTATGCAGGTATCAAGTGACCTAGTGTCTACTCTGTAAGCATGATGCAATCGAATTGAGGTGTTGTGTAGATAATGACCTCAGTAAACTGGATTAAAACTTGTGTCAGATTTTTTATAAATGATTATGGATGGCCAACGAAGGATTTTTTTAAGCAGCATTTTTTTTTTAGCTCACCTGAGCTTTTAGGATCGATGATTGTCCATCGCCCGTCCACATTTAGTTCGTTAACACTCTAGCAGTCGCATTTATTCCTCAATCATCATGAAACTTTGTCAGAACATCTGTCTCAATAATATCTCCGATGAGTTCGAAGATGGGTAATCTCCGGTCAAAAACTAGGTCACAGGATCTAAAAATAGAAAAAGCTTGTTAACACTCTAGTGGCTGCAGTTTTGATTAAAATATTCTGAAAATTTGTCAGGAAAGTTGTTTTGATGATTTCTAGGTCAAGTTCGAAGATGGGTCATGTCCGGTCAAAAACTAGGTCACAGATTCTAAAAATAGAAAAAGCTTGTTAACACTCTAGTGGCTGCAGTTTTCATCCAAATATTCTGGAAATTTGTCAGGAAGGTTGTTTTGATGATTTCTAGGTCAAGTTCAAAGATGGGTCATCTCCGGTCAAAAACTAGGTCACAGGAGCTAAAAATAGAAAAAGCTTGTTAACACTCTAGTGGCTGCAGTTTTCATCCAAATATTCTGGAAATTTGTCAGGAAGGTTGTTTTGATGATTTCTAGGTCAAGTTCGAAGATGGGTCATCTCCGGTCAAAAACTAGGTCACAGGAGCTAAAAATAGAAAAAGCTTGTTAACACTCTAGTGGCTGCAGTTTTCATCCAAATATTCTGGAAATTTGTCAGGAAGGTTGTTTTGATGATTTCTAGGTCAAGTTCGAAGATGGGTCATCTCCGGTCAAAAACTAGGTCACAGGAGCTAAAAATAGAAAAAGCTTGTTAACACTCTAGTGGCTGCAGTTTTCATCCAAATATTCTGGAAATTTGTCAGAAAGGTTGATTTGTTGATTTCTAGGTCAAGTTCAAAGATGGGTCATCTCCGGTCAAAAACTAGGTCACAGGAGCTAAAAATAGAAAAAGCTTGTTAACACTCTAGTGGCTGCAGTTTTGATTAAAATATTTTGGAAATTTGTCAGGAAAGTTGTTTTGATGATTTCTAGGTCAAGTTCGAAGATTGGTCATGTCCAGTCAAAAACTAGTTTACAGATTCTAAAAATAGAAAAAGCTTGTTAACACTCTAGTGGCTGCAGTTTTCATCCAAATATTCTGGAAATTTGTCAGGAAGGTTGTTTTGATGATTTCTAGGTCAAGTTCAAAGATGGGTCATCTCCGGTCAAAAACTAGGTCACAGGAGCTAAAAATAGAAAAAGCTTGTTAACACTAGTGGCTGCAGTTTTGATCCAAATATTCTGGAAATTTGTCAGGAAGGTTGTTTTGATGATTTCTAGGTTAAGTTCGAAGATGGGTCATCTCCGGTAAAAAAAACTAGGTCACAGGAGCTAAAAATAGAAAAAGCTTGTTAACACTCTAGTGGCTGCAGTTTTCATTAAAATATTCTGGAAATTTGTCAGGAAGGTTGTTTTGATGATTTCTAGGTCAAGTTCGAAGATGGGTCATCTCCGGTCAAAAACTAGGACTCAGATTCTAAAAATAGAAAAAGCTTTTTAACACTCTAGTGGCTGCAGTTTTCATCCAAATATTCTGGAAATTTGTCAGGAAGGTTGTTTTAATGATTTCTAGGTCATGTTCGAAGATGGGTTATCTCCGGGGAAAAACTAGGTCACAGGAGCTAAAAATAGAAAAAGCTTGTTAACACTCTAGTGGCTGCAGTTTTGATTCAAATATTCTGGAAATTTGTCAGGAAGGTTGATTGATGATATGTAAGTCAAGTTCGAAGATGGGTCATCTCCGGTCAAAAACTAGGTCACAGGAGCTAAAAATAGAAAAAGCTTGTAAACACTCTACTGGTTGGGGAGATAACTTCGGCTGGTTGATAAAGTCGGCTTTTTATAATTAAATCGAGTTATCGGAATTTTTAATCTAATCAAGCTCACCATCTCATACTATCGCTGGAATTCGACAATATCTTGAAATTTTGTCAAGTTTGATAAGATATATAAAAAATAACACAGACTTTTACCTGTTTGTTTACAAAACATGCCTATAAAAAATACGAGAATCCCATTGTTGTGCGCATGTGCAGCAGATGCTCATTTTGAGACCCGCACAGGGGTACTTTTATATATTGACCGACTACCGGTAAAGCAGACGACGTTTACGTATACATTTTGTAGATGAAATTCAGACTCACTTTTGTCTTGCTAACTCAGAAAAAAGGCTGATTATACAATTGTTATCTTTAAGTGGAATGGATTGAAAGACTGATGTTAAATGCTCCTTTTATATATGTTAATGTGTAGGTTGAATACCACTAAATTAATTTCCTCTTCTCTCTGTTAAGCTAAGCAAAAATAAATTTGAATCACTAATTCTTTAACTACATATTTCGTTATACGTTAATAAATGATACATGATAATGCATGTGTTTTTGCGTAAAAATGATTTACATGTTACATAGTACGTTGCATATAAATATCGTGTTATCATAGATATTCATTATACTAACGTAATGCTGGACAATTTTGGTAACAAATATTTTTTATTTGACATAAATGAACAGCAAAGAAATAATAAAATGTCTGAACATGTTATTTTACGTTTTAACTTACTCATTTAAGAAGAAAAACAAATGGCAGGAATTATCTACTCGGGTGCGTTAAAAATATCCTTTTTACGTACCTCTTCCAGGGCCTCTCAAAATTACCCATTATGTTCCTAAATATAACTTTTATGGTGATACCGGAAAATCGAAGAGCTGAAGTTTATTATGGTGCAAGATTCATCAGAATATGTAATCAAATAAATGAAATATGCCCCCAAAACCCTGATTTTCGGCCGAGTTATCTCCCAAACCAGTAGTGGCTGCAGTTTTGAACCAAATATTCTGGAAATTTGTAAGGAAGGTTGTTTTGATGATTTCTCAAAAATTTTCTTGGCGATGAGGGGGACTCCGCCCCCCTTCAAACCCCCCAAACAGAAGGGGGCACATCCCCCTTCTGGCAACCCCCTGATGTATCTTTTGGTTTGGGGGCCGTGCCGAAAAAGTGGTCACTTTTTTAACAACATTTCTCAAACAAAAACAAGTGTTGGGCGCCTAAATAAGGCATTTTTTCACCATTAGAGACAACAAAATGGGGGGTGGGGTGAAAAAGGCGTTAAAAGGCGTGTATATGACGTAATGGGTGAAGTAACTATATTTATTTGCAATTGGTAAGATATTATTCCTTCACACAGTTATGTATGTTAAAAGTCACAATAGTATATAGACAGATAGATGGTATTTAGATTTTAATTTTCTTTGAGACTGTATTAAGAGACTCCCTGTGATATGTGACCTTTTTCTGGAGGTCTCTTGGAAAGTCACATATGACAGTCTCGACTGTATTACTTTAGAGCCTCAATAATCAGATGAGAGATATAAGGGCCATCATGGCCCTCTTGTTTCATATTGTATGTAAAAATTTTATGTAATATTGATATATAAGAAAAGCTGAAAGTTATTTCCTGTGTTTTCATCATTTTGGTTTGTTGTTACTTTCAGGGTGGTTTTAATAATTTCCATAATACTCCAAATAGACTCCCTCCACCTGCAATGATGGGAATGAACAATGCTCGTCCACCAATGAATCAGCCTAATCCACCCCAGATGTTTCAACATCAACAACATATGCAACAGCCAGGAATGCAGGGTATGCATGAATGTTAACCTTTTTAGCTCACCTGAGCTTTAAGTGCTCAAGGTGAGCTTTTGTGATCACAATTCGTCCGGCCTCCATGAGTCAGTTGGTGCGTCCATCGTCAACTTTTTTTACAGACGACTTCTCAGAAAGCAATAAGCCAAATTTGATGAAATTTTACTGGGATGTTCCTAGGAATTCAGGAACGAAGTGATGGACCCATGTTTCATCCTAAGTTACGATCCAGTAGATAAAATCAGGTTCATCCTCATAGCGAGACAAAAAATATCTTGAAATGTCAAGCCTGGTGCATTTCTGGTTGTCAGTCAACTGTCTGGGGAAACCTTTGACATACCATAGACATCAGTCAGAATTGCCTGAACTGAACCAATGCTTATACCCACTTCCCTAGCAATGCTTCGCAGGTTTTGCCTTCTGTCGCACATGACCAGGTTGTGCACAGCTCATCATCTCCAATGCTCTCCCTGCCCCTCTTAAATTCAGCAGCCCATTTTTAGCTCTCCTTTTTTTTTTTTTTTTGAAAAAAAAAGTAGAGGTATTGTTATAGTGCCTTGATCATAACTTTTTAAGTTTTTGGTGTATTGTCTTCATACTTGGCTACAACAGTGCCTTGATCATAACTTTTTAAGTTTTTGGTGTATTGCCTCATACTTTGGCTTAAACACCTTAGAAACTTTCAGTACCAACATAACCTGAACTTATTTGAAGGTAATGTCAATTGCTTTCTTGCTTTATTGCTATAACATTTATATGGCCCAAAAGTGGAGCATATTAGCATTGCACTTGTCGTCGTCTGTCATAGGTCCCGTTATAACGATCCTCTAAACGGCATGGCAAGATTTTGCTTACTCAGATGAACAATCTTAAGTGTAGATGGTATGAAAGGAAGGAATTTTAGCGTGCGAGCACAAATTATAACAGAAATTATTGGCCCTTTGTTGATTTTTTTCACTATATACTATGTAGAAATTTTGTGAAAGCAACTCCTCTTGAACGGGATGGCAGATTTTGCTTAAACTTCCAGGGATGAACAACCTTAATGTGTAGATGGTAGTAAAGGAAGGAATTTTAGCTGCAACCAAATTTAACAGAATTATGGCCCTTTTTTTGATTTTTTCACTATATACCATATAGAAATTTTGTGAACGCAACTCCTCTTAAACCGGATGGCAGATTTTGCTTAAACTTCCAGAGATGAACACACCTTAATGTGTAGATGGTAGTAAATGAAGGAATTTTTGCTGCGACCAAATTTTACAGAATTATGGCCCTTTGTTGATTTTTATGCCCCAGCCATGTAATGGCCGGGGCATATAGTGTTACCCATTCTGTCATTCCTTCATCATCAGTTTCGTATTGCCTTCATACTTGGCTACAACAACCCTTAGGACGAGACCTTTCAGTAGACCACACTAACCTTGACCTTCATTTAAGGTCAAATGTCCAAATTTTGCTTGTTCTTGCTTTTATTGGCTATAACTTTGTTATTATGCCCCCACAAAGTGGGAGCATATAGCATTGCACTTGTCCGTCCGTCTGTCATACGTCCCGAAATCTTGTGAACGCAACTCCTCTTAAACCGGATGGCAGATTTTGCTTAAACTTCCAGGGATGAACAACCTTAATGTGTAGATGGTAGTAAAGGAAGGAATTTTCGCTGCGACCAAATTTAACAGAATTATGGCCCTTTGTTGATTTTTTCACTATATACTATGTAGAAATTTTGTGAAAGCAACTCCTCTTGAACCGGATGGCAGATTTTGCTTAAACTTCCAGGGATGAACAACCTTAATGTGTAGATGGTAGTAAAGGAAGGAATTTTAGCTGCAACCAAATTTAACAGAATTATGGCCCTTTTTTGATTTTTTCACTATATACCATATAGAAATTTTGTGAACGCAACTCCTCTTAAACCGGACGGCAGATTTTGCTTAAACTTCCAGAGATGAACAACCTTAATGTGTAGATGGTAGTAAATGAAGGAATTTTTGCTGCGACCAAATTTTACAGAATTATGGCCCTTTGTTGATTTTTATGCCCCCGCCATGTAATGGCCGGGCATATAGTGTTACCCCATTCTGTCATTCCTTCATCATCAGTTTCCGTTCATTATCATAGTAACTGTTGCACACATTCAACTCAAACTTGACATATGGATATATCATGATAAAATACAGGTCAAGTTCGAATTTGGTCATGGTTCGATGATTTTTGGCAGAGTTATGCCCCTTTTACTTTGAAAATAATATGAAATTTTCAGTTTCCGTTCATTATCTCCCCAACGGTACAACACATTCAACTCAAACTTGACATAAGGATATGTCATGAAAAAATACAGGTCAAGTTCGAATTTGGTCATGGTTCGATTAATTTTGGCAGAGTTATGCCCCTTTTACTTTGAAAACAATATGAAATTTTCAGTTTCCGTTCATTATCTCCCCAACGGTACAACACATTCAACTCAATTATAGTTGTACATTTTAAACTTAAATTAATATATGGATACGTCAAAGGAATGCGCAGATCAAGTTTGAATTTGGTCATGCTTAGATGATTTTTGGCAGAGTTATGCCCCTTTTACTTTGAAAACAATATGAAATTTTCAGTTTCCGTTCATTATCTCCCCAACAGTACAACACATTCAACTCAAACTTGACATATGGATACGTCAAAGGAATATGCAGGTCAAGTTCAAATTTGGTCATGGTTCAATGATTTTTGGCAGAGTTATGCCCCTTTCACTTTGAAAATAATATGAAATTTTTATGCCCCCGCGCATATAGTAATTGAACCGTCCGTCCGTCTGTCCGTACGAGGTTAACATAGAACGGCAAGTTGGATTTTTCTTAAGTTCTACCTGTACCAATGGCTTCTAAGTTTACACACTTACTAATCAATACAAAGTACATGATCTGGGCAAGTTACATAACTCTGGCTTTCATATTTACCAAGTTATTGCCCTTTTCAGCACTTAGAAAATGAATAATGGTTAACCTAAAACGGCAAGTTGGAAATATCTTAAGTTCTATCTATACTTATGGCTTTATAATTTCCACACTTATCATTACAAATACAAAGTACATAATATTGCCAAGTTATATAACTGTGTCATCCATATTTCCCAGTTATTTCCCTTTTTTCACTTTGAAAATAGGGCCTTGTCTGGTTAACCTATTCCGGCAAGTTGGATTTATCTTAAATTTCTCCTAATTGCTTAAGGTATGAGCCCCCTAATGGGCACTATAAGAAACTATAAAATTGACAACATAGGTCAGTTACATACCTTAAAGGACACAAGAATGCAAAATTTAAACAAAGTTTACCGTATGGTTTACGAGTTATGGAGATTTTTCTTAAGTAAAAATTGGCTATTAGAAGGGCTCTTTTTGAGAAATGAGAAACTCTAAATATTCCATTTTAAAATCATTATGAAAAAAATGTTTTCCTATAAAACATTTTTAAGAAACGAAAAATAGCATTCAGCTAACAAATGACCCACTAAAATTATTGTTTCTACTTATGTTACCCTCCCCCACCCATTTTAAGTAGTTGTTTGATCATTTTTCTACTTGGAGGGCCTTATTCAAAATATCCCCAAAATTTACTGAAATCAGCGGCTGTTTTCAAAGTTTGCATACATTTTCTTTAAAGTATATTGATTGGGCTTGTCAAATATAAAACTACTAGTCTAGTCTAGTTTTTATTTTATTAGACTTTGAAAATATCAGGTACCTTATTTGATAATAAATTTGGCACAATTTAGCCAATAAAAACCAATAATATTTTAATAATTAAAATGAAAAACTTTTTATCAAAAGTGATCTGAGAGACACAAATAATGTTCAAAGAAAAAAAAAAGAAAGAAAAAAAAAGTTGCCTCTTCTGGGGCTTGAACCCTCGCCCCTCAGTTACAATGCAGTTGACAGTAGTTCTAGCCTATTTGAATACTCTTCACAATGGAGGTAATGCATTAGGTGGCTCATACCTTAATTACTTTAATGATATCTTTCATATTTAGTAGGTGAATACCTTTGATGGTCCTCTAATTTTTTGTGGAGTAAGCGGTCTCTAGGGTCAAGGGTTGAGGTCACTGGTTTAAAAAATAAATCTAAACATTTTTGCTTATACAGCCTTTATTTTTTAGTTGATGTCTTAGTTTAATACAAACATGCCAAGGGAGGTCCTCCTTCTTTGGTTGTAGTAAGGGGTCATTTGGGTCAAGGTCAATGTTACCAATGTCAAGGTCACCAATGTTAAAAATAGATTTTTACAGGTGTATTGACCTTATTCTATAGACAGATGTTATATATAATTGATAGAAACATAAACTTTGATGGAGTTAGTGGTCAGTTGGGTCAAGGTCACCAGTGCTAAAAATAGATTTTTACACATTTGCTCATACAGCCTTTATTAAGTGACAGATATATTTTATATTTGGTAGGAAGATAACTTACATGGTATTCATCCTTTTGATTGGGGTAGGGATCAGTGGGTCAAGGTCACTTGTGGTAAAAATAGATTTTTACACTTTTGTCCATACAGCTTTTATTTATTGACAGATGTATTTCATATTTGGTAGGAAGATAACTTGCATGGTATTCTTCCTTTGGATGGAGTTAGGGGGTCAGTTGGGTCAAGGTCACCAGTGCTTAAAATAGATTTTTACACTTTTGCCCATACAGCCTTTATTTAATGACAGATGTATTTCATATTTGGTAGGAAGATAACTTGCATGAAGTTAAATATTTTTCAACTTCACAAGTCAGAGCAATGACTTGGCAACTTATATTTTTCACCATTACAAAATGCCATGACTTTGTCAAGCTATATAACTTGTGTTTACAATTTTTTGGCAATTTTTCTGTCCATAACTGAGTGAATGGGTAAACATATTTTGAAATATTGCTACTGACAAGAATCTGAGCCGGGGGCATTTGTGTTTAATATACACGTTCTTGTTTATTTCTGTTTAACTCCCCAACAGTATTACACGTTCAACTCAAATTTGACATATGGCTACGCC